CACTCACAACAAATAATAATAACAATAATAACAAAAAAGATTAAGTACCAAAGAATAAATGCATAAATGTATGGAGGAAAAGTAAATGTATAAATATGTGGAGAAAAAAAGAAACATTAAATGTCATTGAGGAGACGGGTATAGTGCACAGGCCTGTACTCCTAGCATTCAGGAGGCTGAGGCAAAAGGCTCATTTGAGTCTGGGAGGGTTCCAGACCTGCCTGGGCAACCTAATAAGATGCCTCTTAAAATTAAAAACAAAAAAAGTTATTGAGGAATGCTAAAAACTTGGAGAGAAAAAAAAATGAATATATACTCTGTCCTTGAACTTGGACCTCAAAACAATATCAACTATTTCTAAATCAGTCTATAAACATAATGTGCCATCAACAATATACCCACAGAGTAACCAAGTGTAACTTGTGCCTGTGGTCCCAGCACTTGGGGAGATTATTTGAGCCCAAACAAGACGGATCCAGCCTGAGCAACCTAGTGAGATACCATCTCAAGGGAAAAAAAAAAAAAAATCAGGATATGAGGGGCATGATTAGCTAATTCTAAGTTTTCCTGGAAAATAAGAAAAACTTCTAGAATTCTGAGAAGTAGATAAAAGTCCAATAGTAACCTCAAATTACATGTAGGAATAAAGTACCCCTATAGTCAAGATTTCAAATCAGTAGGAAAAAGTGAGATCATTTAATATAGGATACTGGGATAACTAGGTAGCTACCTGAAAAAAAGATTGGATTCCTATCCCAATACTTAACTTATATTTGTACGGATAATACATCTAACTTAAAAACAAAATTATCTAAGTACCAAGGGAAAAAATAAGAATATTCACTTTAATTTTTAGAAATAATATTGGAATAGGAAAAGTCTTTCTTATGATACAAAACTTTAGAAAGTAAAAAACACTGATAAATTTAACTACATTTTGGGGCAGTGTTGTGGCTCAGTGGTACAGTGCTTGCCTAGCATGCATGAGGCACTGGGTTCGGTCCTCAACACTACATAAAAATAAAATAAAGATATTGTGTGCCTCTAAAACTAAAAAATAAATATTAAAAAAATTAACTACATTTTAAATTTTCTGCTGAAAATATACACAAACAAGGTTAAAACACAAATGAAAAAACGTGTATAATATCTGCAACCTATATTAAAAACTGAGAACTAATTTCCTCAAAACATAAGAATTCCTATAAGCAACAGAAAACATTTCAGTAAAAGAAAAAAAAAATGAATAAAAAACTGGGCATGGTGGCACGCTCCTGCAGTACCAGCTATTCAGGAAGCTACAGCAGAAGATCACTTGAGCCCAGGAGTTGGAGACAGCCTGGGCAACACAGCAAGACCTCATTTCAATCAAACAGTAAGTAAAATTTCCATTTAAAACGAAAAAAGAAAAATGGATAAGAAAATATAAAGAGATGTTATAAATAATGGCAAATATGGCTCTTATACTTGTTGAAAATATGTTCCATTACCAAGGGAACAAGGAAGCCACCAGCATTCTTAAAACTGACAGTGGAACATAAACTGGCACAACCTCTATGGAGGGCAATTTGATGGTATCTTATCAAAGTACACACTATATTTTGACCCAGCAATTGTACTTCTAGGAATTTATCCTAAACATAGACTCAAGACTATGTGCAAAATTCTATACATACAGGCACATTCATTGTATCACTGTCTGTCTTAGCAAGACTGTTAACATTTTAAATGCCCATCCAAACAAAGAAATCTTAGTCTTCCTATCTACGCACGCGGGCACACACACATCCATTCCGGAAAATACACAGGAAATTTATCATTGCTTGTTTCTAGGGAAGGAAGCCAATTAGCTAAGGTCAAATGTAGAAAGAAACTTGCCTCTTACCATATGCTGATTTGTACCATTTGAATTTTAGACATTACTTATGATTTTGGTATTATTTTCTCACAGCTTTACAAATTGTTATATTTTCTTCCTCTTTGCTAGTATTCCATTTCCTGTGTTTGCCATTATGTTTTTAATTGTTTTCTCAACTAGTATATTTCATTTAATCAAACCCACACAGTTAAATTATAATAGCAACATGGATTCAATTAGCCCACGATTTTCTTGCTTCTGAGCTTGCTTGCTCTCTGCATACTATTCTACAAAAGCACTGTTCCCTGTTCCTTACTGGGTGCACAGAAATTTCTAATTATCCAGGACTAAGAAGCTATGAATTTCTTAGTCTACAGGGCAAATACATCAACACCACTGTATTTAATATATAAGCAGAAAGGCAAGGAGGGTGCTCAGCTTCACAAAATATTGTTTGTGCTTTCACAATGGATGCAGAGTCGACACAACTTTACACACTAAAAAACTTGACTTTATCTGCTTGTCCAGAGTTAGTGGGGCTATAGGAACTGAACCAAACTAATAGATCAAATTCACTAGTCACCAATGTCTTATATATAATGCCAATGTACTTAGAATTTTTAAATCTATATGAGTGTGACGTATTTGCATGTATAAAACTGCATTTTTTACATAAATAGCGCAAGCGTGCGCGCGCGCGCGCGCGTGTGTGTGTGTGTGTGTGTGTGTTTGTGTATGTGTGAAGATATTGATATGCTATTTGAACTGGAAGGCAAAAGTAGAAGCAGGGAGATTGCTTAGAAATCTACTGTGGGAGATCTAAAATGAGGGAATTTGAGTAATGACACTTGAAATGCGAGGGAGAGGAAAATATTAGCAGGGCTGCCCAAGTTTCAGGTTTGCATAACTGGATGGACAAAGAGGGTATCACTGAAAAGGGGTAAGTACACGCCATGAAGACCATGCTGTTTTGTTTCACGGAGAGCTGGATATAGGGTAGAGATGCAAAAAAGAAGAGAAAGGGTTTCTCCAATGTGTACAAATCTTGGTAAAGAAGGATGAGTAATGTCAAATGGGACTAGAAATTAAAGGAGACAGAAAGTTACCTACAGTGATTTAAAAAAAAAAAAAAAAAAAAAAAAGCTATACCTCCAGGGTCGGCCATAAAATAAGCCTAGACATTCCTATTCTTCCCCACCACCCAAAATCTTTTGAAATACCTCAAAATAGAATACAAAGAAAAAGTAAGAAGGTTGAAAAATGTAGTACCTTGGAGAATAAGAATTAATATGAAAGAATTTCAAGGTGTATATTGAGATATCAGATATTTCCCCAATTTTGAGAATGAGGGAAAAACGGCCACAGGGAAGGAGAAATGAAGTATCAGTTAGGAAAAAGCAAGCAGAAAGAAGAGACTGATGACCCCACTTTCCTAATTTTCACAGTTTAGACACGTTTTATCTTTACCTCTAGACAAATAGCTGTTTTTGGCCTTGTGTGCTAAGAGAATGCAGAAATAGTTCCACACCTAAGGCCTTATCTGAAATCATGGCTTCCACTGCCCTCAGGTGGTGGCAGTGGGGAAGTGCACCAACCAGGTTCTAAGAGTCCTGATGCCCACATTAAACCCACTGTATAATAATTAATCCATGACCCAAGAAATACAAATTGCAGTGGTAGAGGGCAAGCTGGTAATAGTCCTTGCCAAGATATTTATCTTCTTCGCTACAACACTCAAAATTCAGGTTTTGTTATTAATTTGGAATAAGAAAAAAGATTACTTCTTTCTTCTTCTCCATGTTAAAGATTGCATATGTGGCAATTCTGGATGCCCCATCTGATACTAACACTTCCAGCCCAACTCCTGGTATTTTATATATTTGACTATTTACCAATGCCTCAATTTAATTTTAATGGCACAAAGAAATGGAAAAATGTACATTTCTAGAACATATCAATAACACTATCATAAACACGGGCAATTGTCTTTTGAAACGTGTGAAATTTCCTTTGTTATCTTCAAATTAATCATTAACTACACTGAAATACAAGGCACAGTAACAAACAAATAAAAAAACCATCATGTTCTCAAAACTCATCAGCAAAACAAACATATCACTGATATAATAAATTTCAACATGATTCACAAAAAAACATGGTGAATGATTAACAACATCATTCCTAACAGTTCTCTTGGTAAAAATAAGCTTGCCCGATATCACATTTGACAGTCTGTGATTATTCAATTCCATACCTTCTTACTATTATGCGGAATACTCTCTTACAAATGGATCTCTTTAAAACTGTCTACACACATGCAATAACTTGAACTGGTTTTGTTTTTTAAGACATTTCAATTCAAAGATAAGGCACTACAGGCCAGAACGCGAAATTATTGTATTGGGTACATTTTTCCAATTCTCAGTTGTTTTTATACCATAGACAAAGCAAAATTTTGTCACCAAGTATATTCTCGATTTTCGTTTTCCTCCTTTAAAATCTACACACTATTATCCGTTCTATCTCTGGGCATTTCAAAATATTAAGAATTCAACTAGTTTTCCCTAATCCCCTTGGTTCTCTTTCCCATACATTCCCTAGACAACAAGCCCCCTCCCGCCCCCACCACACATATACTCTTTTCTTCTGTTTCAGATACCCAACTCTTACACACATGGGTGGTTTTTTGTTTTGTGTGTGAGTGTGTGTGTAACAAAACCGCTCCTTGGAATGCTCTTCCGTCTCTTTTCCTTAATTAACACTCTTTTTTGACATAATATTCCACAGCTAGGCGCCAAAGTCTTTCTTTCACAAGATCAAACTGCGGAAGGGGAAGAGATTGGGAACCGAGTAAGCGAAACATTTGGGAATGTCAACGAGACAGTGATCTCTCTTTGGGAAGGAGACAGAACTCTCCGCAGAAAGCTTTCGACAGGGCAAAAAATACTTTTCTTCGTGGTGCTCCGGTTCCCTCCCTGACCTCAAAGACACCTTTGCTTTTCTTTGATTCCCATTCTCTCTGCTTTGCGTGGGGGCCTCCCTTTCCTTTTCCCAAGGAAAAGAAAGCCGGGGAGAAAAGACAAGGGAGCAGTCACCTTCCCGCGGCACCCGCAAGCTGTCACGACCCAGTCCCACGACTCACCTGGCAGGTGCGGCCGCCCGGAGAGTTGCACGAAGCGGTTGAGCTGGCCAGTCCCCCGACCCCCGCTGCCCCCACTGCCCCCGCCGGCCCCGCTACCTCCGCCGCCACCGCCGACCGCTCCTCCTCCCCTCCGGCGGTTCCTGTCCCATCCCTGGGCGGCCGACATGACCCGCTAACGACTGCCGCAGCCTGGTCCCGGCAGTCCCTGACCCGGCGGCACCAGCGGAGCCTTCTTCCTGGGCTCCTCAAGAGACCGGGGAGACAGGGAAAGGGGGAGCGCCCGGTCTCACCAGGGACCAATGACTAACGACCTTGGTGACAGAGCGCCAATGGGTAGTCGTCTTCTTGGTAGGTGGAGGGAGGCGGAGAGAGACGTGGTAACCATAGCTATGGCTAAAAAAAAAGTGTGGGGAGAGAAAGACAGAAGCAGCCACTTATCAATCGCATCCACCGCGCTGAGCAAGCCCGCGTAGCCTCGACTCCTGCGGGTCAGGCGGGCCAATCGAAGCCCGAATGAACGAGGCCACGCCTGCCGAAAGACTCCCGGAGACCGCTGTACTCCAGGAGTACATGTTTAGGACTCGGGAACTCTTGGCCATAAACCTTGCATTCAGAAGCAGGCAATGCACATAATGCACATATTTGTGGGCGATACACTTTTGCTGCCAGGTTTTCAGATGAAGAGTCCATCCCTTGACTGTTGGCACACACAAAGGGCTCGCTGGGGAAGGGAGGAAAACTCAGGGCGGAGTCGAAGCTTGAATGTAAAAACGAGATATTCCTGGGTTTCATCGTTTGCCTTGTCTTTCCGTGGGACTAGCTGAACTAATCCCGATATAAGCCACATCCCAAGCAAACAGCTTTAAACCTTTTAACAAACATGGGAAAATGTTTAGTCTTACCAGTAATGATAGAAACAATTAAAACCCTGATGAGAAACATGTTCTGGTTTATCACATTGGAAAGGCTTTTTGAAATGACACCCGGCGGTCTGTGCCAAGAAAAAGATATCCTCATAGATGACTGATGGCCATGTAAATGTTTTTGTTCAATCAACCCCTTCTTGCTCGCAGAAAATGTTAATCGGCTTAGAATGTGTACAATAAGAATTAGAATGTGAAATAAATGACAGGAACAGGTACGGATGACCAAGATCGAAGATAGATGTAGATAAGCAGATCAGAAATTCCTATTGTTCCAAAATTGAACAGAAAATTTGGCTTTGAATTTAGGGGGCGCAATTCCAAGTGGGAAAACACAGACCGATGTTTCCAGTAAGGAAAAAGCATATAAATTCCTTAAGGCAAACAAAACTTTTTGAGGTTCTTGGATCTGATGGATTTTTCTCCCGTGGTGTTTCACATCAGGAAACCTTACATGTGGCAAAGAAAAAGGGAAGAAACTCTGCCCAAGCTGAGGGCAAATACCCTTACACCCTGATATACAAGTTTTAGATCGCCACCTTCAGGCGTCGAGTGGTTACTTTCCTACGTTCAGTGTCTGCAGGAAAGAGAGGTACTGTAGCCATTAAGTTACCATGAACATTTCCCCTAGCACGGCTTAGGAAAATGTTTGAGACCTGAAAGAAATAGACCTATGGCTCTAAGATAGGAAAACCAAAATTAAGAAATTATACCGCTCAATAACCAAAGTGTAGCTGAATAACATTGTTCTTTTTATAGGAATATTCCAAACAGTAATAATGAGAGGCGAGACATAGCAGGTTGTGGTGGCACACACCTGTGATCCCAGCGGCTCAGGAGGCTGTGGCAGGAGGGTGGGGAGCTCAAAGCCAGCCCTAGCAACTCAGCAAAGCCCTAGGCAACTCAGTGAGACCCTGTCTCTAAATAAAATATTAAAAAGGGTTGGAAATGTGGATCAGTGGTTCAGTGCCTCTGGTTCAATCCCCTTTGCCAAAAAATAAAAAAGAACACAAACATGACTATGAAAATCTTGCAGAAAAGAATTAAACCTGAGTCTCATCAGACATCTAGATACAACACCAATTTATAGGAAATACAAAGGAATGTTAAAAGATGCTACAGTAAAGTTGACTACAGAAATTCAACAACATGCAAGTTTCTTCAAAAAATAAATTGAAAGAAAAAAATAAATTTAGAGGAGGAAATCTACAAATTAAAGAGACTTCTGATGGGTGTTCCACCTTGTGAATATGCTAAAAATCACTGAATAACAATGGTAAATATATTAAAAATTTTGTAAATATATTAAAAACCACCAAATAATGTACACTTTAAAAAGATGAGTTATATGGTATATGAATTATATCTTAAAGAAATTTTAAATAATACGAGAAGGGTGAAGTGGATGACAAAATAGATGAAACAAGATTGATTTCACTTTAAATCTTGAATTATGTATGTGAATTATATCTCAATAAAGTTGTCAAGATCCTATGTTCCTTATCAATCGCATCCACCGAGTTATACATGACCAGTATAACTCCACATCATGTTCATCCACTGCCCCAGTCCGGCTGCAGCAACATGGGGGGGGGGGTGATGAGCAACTTGTGTACATTGATACAGCAGGAATGGGAGCCATTTATTGTAGGACAGGAGGGGTATATACACATTCCACACAGCTTATCTTTTTTTTTAATATTTATTTTTTTTTAAGTTCTGGGGGACACAACATCTTTTGTTGTCATGTGGTGCTGAGGATCGAACCCCGGGCCACACGCATGCCAGGCGAGTGTGCTACCGCTTGAGCCACATCCCCAGCCCGACACAGCTTATCTTAATTAACATAAACTAGATACAGCAGTCAACCAGTCAACCAATAAGGAACCTCCACACTTAATGGCTTGATGGCTCCACCTCACAAACCACTCCCCCTGGCAAAATGCCAGGCGCCATCCTGACTTATTTACAGACTCTAACAAACCACAAAAATAGAATCCTAGTTAGAATAACTTGTATTCCATGTGTGTATAATATGTCAAAATGCATTCTATCATGTGTATTTAAAAAGAAATAAAATTAATAAATAAACTTGTCAAAAAAGAGAGACTTAAAAACATAACAACCAAGTGCTGTAGTGGACCTTATAGGAATCCTGATTCACATCAACTGAGGAAAAAGCATTAATGACAATATTGGAAATTCCAACACTAAATTTCTTTTTTGGGTGCTCTACCACTGAACTACATCCCCAGTCTTTTTTTTCTCTTTCCCACATTTTTTATTGGTGCATTATAGTTGTACATAGTGACAGGATTTGTTGTTACATATTTGTACATACACACAATATAACAATATAATTTGGTCAATATCACTCTCCCCTAGTTCCTCCTTCCTCCCTACCTCCCTCACCTTGGTCTCATCCCTCTACTTATCTCTTTTTGATTTTCATAAGATCCCCCCTTGTTTCTTTTCCATTTCTCTCTCTAGTTTCTGAATATGAGAGAAAATATATGACCCTTAACCTTCTGAGATTGACTTTTTTTTGCTTAACATGGATATGTCTCTAGACATATCCATTTTCCTGCAAAGGACATAATTTTATTTCTCTTTATTGCTAAGTAAAACTCCATTATGTATATATACTACATCTTCTTTATCCATTTGTCCATTAATGTACATAAGCTGGTTCCATAATTTGGCTATTGTGAATTGTGCTGCTATAAACATGGGTAAGTATATATCACTATAATATGATGACTTAATTCTTCAGGATAAATATTGAGAAGTGATATAGCTGGGTCATATGGTGGTTTCATGCCCAGTCATTTGAGGAACTTCCATACAGATTTCCATAGTGGTTGAACTAATTTACAATCTACCAAGAGTTTAAAAGTGTTCCTTTTTCTACACATCCTCTCCAGCATTTATTATTATTTATATTGTTGATGGCTGTCATTCTGACTAGTGTGACATGGAATCTCAGGGTAGTTTTGGTTTGCAATTTCCTAATTGCTAATGATGTCAAACATTATTATTTCATACATTTATTGGCCATTTGTATTTCTTATTTTGAGAAGTGTCTGTTTCATCTATTAATTGACTTATTTGATTTTTTGGGTGTAAAGTTTTTTGACTTTTCTATGTATTCTAGATATTAATACTCTACCAGAAGAGTAGCTAGCAAAGTTTTCTTTCATTCTGTGGGTTCTCTCTTCACATTCCTAATTGTTTCCTTTGCTGTGCAGAAACCTTTTAATTTGATGCCATCCCATTTATTAACTGTTGACATTATTTCCTAAGCTTTTAGGGTCCTATTGAGAAAGTTGTTGCTGGTGCCTCTATGCTGGAATGCTAACCCTACATTTTCTTCTAGGAGTTGCATAGTTTCTGGTCTAATTCCTAGATCTTTAATCCATTTTCAGTTGATTTTTTTTTTTTTGTAGGATGAGAGATAAGGGTATTGTTTCATTTTTCTACATATGAACAACCAGTTTTCCCAGCACCATTTATTAAAAAGGCTGTCCTTTCTCTGATGTATGTTTTTGG